AGGTAAAAATTAAAGCCCTTGCCAGACAAGGGCTCAGTTAATTTTGTACCTCTAAACCAGGGGACTGGACATAGAAATTGCTGTAATTCCTAAACAGTTAACGCAATGCTTTAGCTAAGTCCCTGAATTAAAGCTAAAAGACTTATTTGTTTGATTTAAACGCAGTGGTGGTGTACAGAGACAAAATTACAAAAAAGAAAACCTCAGACAATAAGAGATATGCAGTAGAGCACAGCAGGAAGCAGGACCCAGGACAGGCATAGGCTGTGATGCATCAGATTATCATAACCTGCACAATTCTCAGATGAGTGAAAAGTGGTGCAACCACACACACACACAACACACAGACTTTACATTACTGAGCTGGCATGTAAAAGATCATTTTGTTATCTGCACTGGGCATTTGCATTATCACAAGCAGTTCTGGGCTGCAGTGCATGAGTTAAAAAAAGAAACATATTGAATAAAAGAGTTTGTTCATGAGTTGAGGTAAAGACATAAATTATGTTTTCTTTATCTGTAAATATATTTTTACAAGATTTCTGTAAATTATTAACTGATATATAATTTGTCATAATACCTTTTTTCACCCTTCACCAACACAGATAAGTACAGTATGCACATGCTCAACTTTTTGCCTTAACATAAACCCACAGATAACCTGCGTATGTCTAAATTAGACTGATCTAATTTTTTTAAACCGCTCTTTCAAGAGGCGAGTGCCAAATATTTTTTTTGTATGCTTTGTACCTCAGGATAAGAACAAGTGCATGCAAATACACACACGGCCACGTAAACACACACAAGCGGCTGCACATAAAACCCCTCTGATAAGATCTACAGGGATAGAGTCGTTGTTAAAGAGAGATGTCCGTTATGGAAAGAAAGCAGCTGTGTGTGTGTTTGTGGAGAAACAAGACTCCAGTTGTTAAGCGCAATCAAACACAAATAACTGCACAGTGTGCATGAAAAAAAGAGTGATTGGGTGACTAACTGCCACTTGTAGAATGATGTGACTGTTTCCCCCCTGCGGCCTGATTTTCGCCCTTTTCTGTAGGTTTAATGCTTTTCTTCCACACCTCCCTGTCACACACTCGCTCCTTCATTCTCTAACACATGCACATATGTATACACACACACACGCGCGCGCGCAGACACACATCTTCTCAGTCAGCTGACACCCTGACTGAATTCTAATTACATCCTATGGCTCTGTTGCTGGGTAAAAACCACAGCTTCAATGGTGTTAAATTCCTTCACGTTTCCCTTTAACATAGAAGAACAGTGCAGCATTTACTGGGAGTCAAAAGGCTGACGAAGGAGTGTTAATGAAGGGGACAATATAGAAGTGAGGGTGGGAGGAGGAACAAAGGAAGGGGGAGATGGATAAGCCATAAATCCGTGTGTGTGCATAGTGAAAAACCTTTGGGCTTTGTGTTTTTTATATATTGTTTTTGCTCTAGCTTAGGGATATCAAGTTCTGGTAGCTCATGCCTCAGACTGTCCTTTAAGTATTTTTTTTCTTTCTTTCTTTTTTTTCTTTTTTCTTTTTTCTTTTTTTTTTTTTTACTGTGGGCTAATTTTACAAAACAGAGATTTCTGTGATAGACAAAACACATTTAATGTTTGTCTATTACTTAATTACATTGACGAAGTATGAAGGGCCATGGGAGAGTTTTGCATGGGTAGGAAAAGTTGTAAAACGTCTGAAAATAAAGTTAAAAGTCCAAGATTTTTGCCCTCCTTCACATTTTCCAAAGAAAGGCAATCCCAGGCCTTATGTTTGACACCCCTACTCTAACTAATCAACTAATCAACTCTAAGTCTAACGATCAAAAGTTGCTTACCACGGTATGGGTGTACAAATACAAGGACATGTTATATAGAAATATAGACGTACGCAATACTTTTGTTAACTCCCTTGAATTAAAGAGTTTGCATTTCAGTCACATCCTGATTGACTGTTGCAGCATTCATAATGATGATGTATGGAAGCAAAACTAGAAAAACTGTGTCAGTGTACAAATATTCCTGGATCCAGCTGTACACTACATTACAGTTTACTAAATGTTCAATAACTAACTGGTTAGCTTATATTGGTATATTTTTTTAACCAGCCCAACATGCAAGGTGACTGAAAATGAACAGATAGACAGACAGCAACAAAATAATATTTTCATGTTAATAACTTTTGTCTAAAATAAAGTCTCTTCATATAATAATAAGATGAGAGATGCCTGAATAAAGTTCAGAAAAAAACTTAAAATAAAGACTTAAAATGAGTTGAATACCACTGGAACTATTAGAAACTACACACACACATACACACACACACTTGAGCATGAATTGGAGCATGGTGGAGCTGCGAGAGCATTTGGATAGAGTGAGAGTGGGTAGTACAGAGGGGCATTGTGCATCCTGGCACCAATTCAAACTCATCCACAAAGACACAGACGTAAAAAAACACACATTCAGATGTACAATTACAAACTGTGTTCAAGAGAGTCGTTTCAAACAAGCAGCGAGACGCACTGTACCAGTGATGCTCAAACAGACACCTGATACACACACACACACACACACACACACACACACACACACTTACAAAGTGCACAAGCAGACAGTCCGTTACATGCATTTATAAACTCTAACAGGAGTATTGTTGAAACCACATAAATCCACTCTGACTAATAGTGGTTCCACTGGTGCTGCAGCTTCTATTCAGATATGCACTATTTACACTACAAACAAAAAAACACCTCTATTTTTTTAAACTCACACCTGCCTGTCTCACAGCTAAATATTAAATACAACGAGTTCATTGATAACAAATCATTGAAGCCTGCACCAGTTAACTGCTAAAATGAAAAGTGGTCAGTATAAACTGTTAAACCATTGGAGACAAAAACCCTCATCCCACTAGATTAAATCAGTATGGAGGTTAATGGGGTTTAAGTGCATTTTTGAACTACTGAGTGATGATTGAACAGATTTTCCCCCGAAACACTAGATGAAGTCTTTTACTTAGTTCCCAATGGGAACCATTAAAGTTTAATTTGATCAAATGTAATGCAGCCTCTTAAAATAAAAGCCCTCATATTTAGTTTGAATTGAGCAAAAAGCAATCAGTTCGAAGGTGAAATTGATATTTATTAAAGCAAATGACCCCTTTTCTCTGCACAAGCTCATTTTTTCTGTGTTTGTCTTCTTTAATAACCAGCGATGACTGATTGAATGCGATACAGCGATCTGTCCAGTGGAATAGTTTTTGCTCTTTTGTCGTTTTGTCGGGGCTTCGGCTCATTAGCCTCTGGTAATTTTCACTGCTAGATAATTATGGCTTTCTATACTGAAAGCCATAATTGGGATTTGACTACCTTTTATTTTTTGCAATTCTTCACAGTGTTTTGTGCGATATCATACTTTTGTGCAGACATTTTTTTATGAAAAAAATGCTAAAAAGTCTTGATTCGAGTGTTTGTGTGTTACTGCTGACACTGATAATTTTGGGGTTGTATATTTGATTTTTGCTGTCAGTTTATTCCCCTTTCTATCCTGATACAACAAACAAACCACAACACATGAATGTGAATGAATATGGGACAACAGAAAAACAGCCGGTGACATCAGTATATTTCACACTTTATTTTCAGACCTTTCGATATTTATCAAATACCAATCATCAGCTGATATATCACTGGGCCCCTATGCAAACTCTTAACTGGCTGTGTAAAGACTATGACATGAATACTGAATACAGTGTTTCGGGATGATGTCGGTGTGTAATTTTGTGTATTGTTTCCCCAAAACACATTGAAGAACCAGTTTTGCATCGGTGTTGCAGATCAGGGCACTCTTTGTTTTTCAGACAGCAAAACGCTGCTTAATTCAGCTTCATGCCATGCAAGTTCGCAAACTAGACAAATTTATTTAACTCGCCTCATTTTAGAAGTTGTTCTGATTTTTAATACTGTAACAGCATGATAGCTTTACTAAAACCGCAATGCAGTTGTCACATTGGATTTAAAAAAAATTTCCCCCCAGCTGCTGGTGTCGACTTTGGTGTCACTCTCTGACATTAGAAACTTTTAATGAATAACTGCCCTCAGGGCTTTGGTGGTGGGGGAGGCAGTCCGGGGAGGGGGGCACAATCAGACTTTCATGAGATCATTTTATGTATAAAAGATCAGTCCCTGCTAGGCTGCTATTAATGATCTTTTCTGGTATTATTATTGAAAAAAAAAGTCCCCTCATCATTGTCACCAAGTAGTGCCTGTATAAACTTCCTCCTGATGTACAATACACTCTTAACTCCCAGCCCAAATAACATTTAACTGGTTCTTTTTTTTTCTCCAGCACTATTTTAATAACATTTCTGATATTTGCATAGCCCAGATGTTCTATTTTACCTGAACAGAGATTAATAACATAATAAGTAACCTCCCTCAACCTTGGTGAACTTACAATCCGAGATAACAACACTCTGGGGTTCCTTTTGGAGAAAAATATGCATTTACACACACATTGCTTGAAACTACTCTTACCCTAGATGTCTGAATTAAATGGATATGACTTAGGTTTGCTACAGCTGAGAATATTTTAAGTACACACCACAGTATGATTATGTCTGTAACTTTAGTTCCTTGTTAGGTGTTTCCTAGGATCATGGATCATGCCCTAATAACTTCAACAACACATTATTCATGTTATGTGGATATTGTCATTAAACTGAAACGATCCGATGAAGACGATAAGGTCTTGAAGGAGTCTATGAATGGATCATTTTAGCATTTTAGCTAGGCAGCATAATGTTGTTATAATATCTGATAAAGCGAACAACTTGCAGGGTCCTAATATGTGTCTGTGTGCCCAAATACCTGATCGTGTAAAAGAAATTCTGAGGCAAACGGACTTTCATGCATGATATTTAGGTATCATTGTGACGACTGACGCACTGAGCTAAACTTCCCAACCTCTACCCCTCCATCTTCCCCTCACAGGTGGCAAAGGACGTGTCCATCCGTCTCCACAGCCAGCTGGACAGTGTGGAGAAGAAGAGGAGTCGTCTTGAGCAGGAGAATGAGGAGCTGAGGGTCCGCCTGCAGGATCTGGAGATCGCTAAACAGGTCCTGCAGCAGGAGATTGACAAGGTAGGATCAAAACTTTGCATCTGAGTCAGGAGAGGCCAAGCTGGGTAGTTGGCCGACTGAACAGGGCTGTTAGATAGCATTAGTTGTGCACTACTACTACTAAACTGTCAGCATATCAATGTTACTACTATTTATAGCTTTGCTGGTATGTGTTTGTCTAGGCTGGAGCATTTCAAACAATAATCACCATATAGCTGTTGTCTTTCCAGCAGAAGCCATGTACTGAGAAACCATTTAAAAAAGGTTTGCCAGTTGAAGTAGATTACAAGACTACAAGTTAAGATGTGTGTTTGTTTAGGTTCAGACTTGACTAGAAATTTCATTTAAACACTGAGGTTCAGGCAGATCCCTATTTAGCCTGTCGTGGATTTGGGACCTTTGAAGAAAACTGTTTACTGTGCTCAGTTTGTCTTGAAGCCTCCAGAGAGTCTGTTCTTTTCTGGTGTTCACTTCCTTTCTGCCACTCGGCTGCAACTCAAGGGACTTTTTTGTTATACTAAGTGTAGCCAATAAAAACTGTAATGAAAAGGAAGAATAGAAACTGATGTCAGGACTCAGTGAAGTGAAAATAAACATAACAGAGTTGATGTTGCTGCCTTTTTTTTTTAATGGGAAAAAATACGAGTAAGTGTATTTGCACATAGATTTGGTCTGAGAGAAGCGTAATGTGAGTGAAAAGCAGAAAATGAGGCTACAGTTCTGCATCCAATTCTTCCCTCTTTCTGCTTATTGTCTCTTTTGCCAATGTCTAATGGTCTGATGGTCACGGCCTTGGCTCAGGACCAGGTCCCTGATGTGGGTCGGGTTGGGATGGATGGCTGGGTTCCTGGCAGGGGATCTGGGTCTGTCTGCTCTGGTCTGGCTGGACTGTGTGTTCCCTTGGTACAATTGGTCGTTTGCTGTTTGTGGATTGAAGGAAGATGGCTGGGTTTCATCACCCTTCACCTGGCTGTCTTTCAGATGAAGTGTAGTGGTGCATCCACTACAGATGATATACACATACGTACATTCTGAATAGCTGCTTCTTGTCTATTATATACATTTCCCCTTGTTTTTTCTCAGCTCCTGGAGGTATCTTGTACTACTGCTACAAGTTTGCAATATTGCACTATTTACCAGCCTCTGTTGAACTACCATTAAATACTACTATTAAACTGAAATGTGTGTAGCACTGTGAGAGTTCATGCCACTGTACAGATGTCAAAAAATCTTAGTTGAACTTCTCTAAAAAAATAAATTAAAAAAAAAGGTTCAGTGCAACTCTGCCAGGTGAGACTTCCACAAGTGGGGGGTGTTTAAAAATAGATGAACAGTTCTCAGTGAATTTCAAATAGCTTGCTTGCCATCCCCATCCCTAACATCCACAGTGATGGAGATGCAACACCCGAATAGCTCAATGATTTGATTTATATTTCCAGCCCTCACCAATGGTTTGATTTAAAGACTGGGCTTCCTTTGCATGAGTCTGTGGAATAGATTTTTATATTGTAGCAGTTTTAATTGGTAAAAGTGTTATTGGTTTGTTTAATATCCTGCAAATATGAGATTTTGTTTGAAATCTCATATTGCAGTTCGTGTTTTTCTTTACTGTACATTTTGAAGGCTTTTCCTTCAAAACACAGCAGCTCTCGAGTCATCTGAATAATGTAATGAGTCATAATGAAAAAATTCACAACCCTTTGTTTTCAGTTGTCAAAATGTCAGTTTTCCACAAAGCTTAATTGTTGGCCATTAGAAATGGATACAACCGGATGCTAATCTTGTTGCTATGAAATTTCTTCCCTTGTTATTTATACTGTCATTTTTTAAGCACAGGCTTTAATGTTTTACTTTTTACAATTAAAAGATCCTGATAGTTCCTGGTATTTGGAAGAAAGCTTTCATCCATCTAAAGCAAAATAGCCCATTGGCTATTGTATTATGTCACCAATCATACACTAAAGCAGAGCTACAAAGTCTCACCAAGTGGAAAGTACCATGGTTATTTCTCACCTAGCACAGCAGGCTGTTGACTGACTGGATGCCTGATGTGCTATAAACTAACATGGTTTCATAAGCCTTGTTTTGGGACTGCTGTGCAGAGTCATGCTAACCCTTCAGTGAAGGGAGTTCTTCACATAGCTGATGTGATTCAGAGAGCTGTGTTTGTGTGCATGTTCATCCACAAAGGAATGTCTCACTCATCTGTGTTTCACCTTCGACTGCACAGTACAAACACAAGAATTCAAGTACATCACAGAAAAGAGAGTGATAAGAGCGGCCGCCTTTCAGAGAGTGATAAAACATACACAGATATGCACAAAAAAATTATACGGTGAAGATAAACACACTGGACAGAAAGGGATTTAAGCACACAGACAGGAGTGCATGCAGTCAGTAAAGGCCTTGGTATTTCACAGCTGTAAATGAAGTTTGTGAATTATTGATTGTGTGGTGACTGCAGCCCACGGTCTGCACTGATATCGATATTCTTTAAAAAGAAGAGCTGTGCGGTGCACTGGCTAGACCTTTACTGTGCTGCTGCTGCTGCTGCTGCAGGCCATCAATACCAAACTGGAAACAGGAGGATTCGTTTCTGTAGAGTAACAGTTTTAATGATTTAGCTACATAAACAGAAATAATGTCAATTAGAAGCAGACAAACATGTAATTTGATTGTTACATCTCGTTTGAATTGTCAATATTCTTTTTTAGTTTTTGCTTTATATGTATCATGTGTTGCTATAAATGGTAAAAACTATACATTAGAGGTTGGACTTATAGGTAGGTTTCTGTATGCGCATGTTTTTGTATTATATTAATATAATAAAAACACATTTTTAGCAATCGTTGTCAATATGCTTATAGGCTGCTATCATTTTTTAGTTTGCCAGTTGCAGAGCGAAAAACAATGATAGAAACAAGCACCGCTGTTGCATGTGTGCTTTATATTATCATTGCCAAATCTTCTCTTATATGCTAGTCTTTGGCAGTTGTGTGTTAGCCTTAGGTACATTCACATTATTAGTTGCAGTATTTTACTTATATGTTTGTAACATATTAGTTTCACTGACCGCAAATGATGCCTCTTTTATGACATACTTAATACTTAATCACAGCAGGTTTGGATGGTGCACTAGTGTTATTATGTTAGCCTTCTCCATTTGGTAACTTGAAGGTCAAGATCTGCCATATTTTAGAAAACTATGTCAATTTTGATATAGGAAGCAATGTCATTTATGCATAGATATAGACTTCATTAATCCCACACTGAAGAATTCCAGATTATAATTTATTTTATTTATTAAGAGTGACAAATTTCTCAAACCCTTTGGTCCAAACCTCCAAATGTCAATTTGGGTTGAAAAGGCCACATCATAATATTTCCATCACTTTCATAATTACATACCGAAAAGCCTTGTCTTGATTCAAACTGTGCATTTTTGTGGACAAATGAAATCGTTCAGTTGATTTTTCTTGAATTTGTCTCCTATCTTATGTATTTTTAGAAAATGGTTCATGTAAAAGTTAAGTAAGAATTTTAATAGTTGCTAGAGTCTGACCGATGTAGGAGTTTGAAGACTGATACTGATACCAATAGTTTCTGATTTAAAACTCTGATATTACATGAGCCGATTTTTTTTTTAATCCAGATAAAACAAAAACATAAACAGATTTCCCCCAAATCTGTTACGCATAGTTTATTAGTATTATTATTATTTATTTATTATGTTGTGCCCAAATCTACTCAGCTCAGATGATTGTTGTGTTTGCGGCGTTCCCAATAGGGAAGTTTGCAGAGTGCTCTCTGGTGTAAAAATCAAGACTGAAATGAAAACTCACAGTATAAAGTGCCTTGAGACAACTGTTGTTATGATTTGGTTGCATATAAATAAACATGAAGTAAACCGAATTAAAAAAATCCTTTGAAGGGTCGGGTCCAGAAGGGCGCCCAGTGTAAAAACTGGAGCTAAAGCTAATATGCGGATGCATCCATTGTAAATGTAGGAATGGCTGATAGTTAATTATCAGCTGTTATAAATATCAATACTAATAGATCGGAAAATAGATAATATTGGTTGATATTATATTAAATCAGTTGCCTCTCTTCTACAGATGTATACGCACTGTTAGACAAACACGCGTAAAACACAATTAATTTAGTCAAACAAGCAGAAGGGCAATGTTTTCTCTCATTCATTTTCTCCACCCTTGTTTTCCTTTACCCTCATCCCTCTCTCACAGCCCGGCTCTCCCTTCCCCTCCTCCATTGCACCTCTGCTCTCCTCCTGCATCTCCCCATTTGTTATCACCTTCTATTCTTCCTGCCTCCCTCCCTCCCTTCCTCCTCTCCTGCTGCTCCCATAGAGACGCAGAGGAATGCTGATGCAGGGATTTCTTTTTCCATCTCTCTCCTCTTTCCCTTAAAATTTCTCCTCTGTCCAGCTCCTCCTGCTGCTCCTACTCAAGCCAGTCCGCCCCCTCTCCCTCCTTCATACCAAAGCCCTCATTCCCTCGCTCACTCATACCTCGCCTTTTTTGTCTTGTTTCCTCCCCTCCTCTGCTGCTGCAATCTTCCCTTCCCTCTCCAAAACCCATCGATCCATTCCAGCTGCTTGACCTTTGACAGAGGCAAGGTCAGATGTGATGAAGGGAGGAGTGGGTTAGAGTTATCGGATGTTAGGGAAGGATTGATTGAAGGAATGTAAGAAAGAAAAAAAAATCATGGTTAGAAAGACAATAAAGCTGAGGTTGCAAGAGACTCTGTCTTTTGAATACAAGCCAGCCTGTCATTCAACCAGAGACCTTCTTTCATTTTACTTTCCTTCACACTTTATTTACGTCTTCTTTGTAACAATCAACAGAACAAGCAGCTCTTGTTTCTGGTTAATACCATTTATGCTGTCTGGATGTTGTCGTTCAGTGAGCCACTGTATTCACTGTAAATAGGTACTATCATTATAATAACACCAATTTACTGAATTTTAGTGAGTTTCTGTTTCGCTTAGTGAAGGGCAAAGG